TGTCAGGGGCCACACAGAGAAGTCATAGAACAGCGATCCGATCTGACCCGACTGATGCCTCTCACAGATTCTATATTTAAATTTCAGCAAATTAAAAAGCTAACTTTTATAGTCGGGCACATACCGCCAATAAAACGAAATGGTTTAATTACAATGTTGATGTGACTTGTTCTGAGTCAGCCAGTAAAATATTATATTACAAAATGGAATTATAACTCTCCAGGTAAACAGTGTCGGTAACGTTCTCTATAATACCGCACGCTAGAACGAAAGAGACTCCGATCGGTGTAATTTACTACAAAATTTATTTTATACCCGAAGGTAAAATATCATTCTAGTGCTAGATAAATGTTTGTATCGTATGTATTTATCTAATACACAAATACCTGTCTGGATACAAATGTATTCACCGATAAACAATTACTTTGTGTGATTCACAAATTAAATCAATGAATGTTTTCGCCCAGGATTCAATTACAAAAAATGTATAAATCTTGGGTGAAAGCTGTGTCAGTCGTTGGTGAAAACATTGATAAACAGAGAATATATTTCTACCTTGGTCAAGCAAATTCGTAGCAAACATCTGATCGGCGTCCAGAGGAAACATCTAAATCCCTCCGACTGGGAGGAACCATCTCTGGTCACACACAGGCCGATTCCGAGTCCCAATCGGATTGGATACCAAGTGCTGCATATCCTACATAATAAAAAATATCACCCCGATGAATCCATCACATGCAGCTTCCTGTGTCATCATTCCTCATCAATCCTCGGACATAACACTCAGCCTGAAAGTATGTCACCGACAACTCCCTCTACTACTAGATAGATAGATAGATAGATAGATAGATAGATAGATAGATAGATAGATAGACATAGATCGGGAAAGGAAGAAAAAAGAAAGAAAGAAAGAAAGAAAGAAAGAAAGAAAGAAAAGAGAGGGATAGAAAAAGATATATAGAAACGCAATAGATAATTGAAGAAAAAAGAAGATAGACCAAAATAATTCATAAACATATAAATAGATGATAGATAGATAGATAGATAGATAGATAGATAGATAGATAGATAGATAGATAGAGGATAGATAGACATAGATCGCGAAAGGAAGAAAGGGAAAAGAAAGAAAGAGAGAGAAAGAAAAACGCAATAGATAAAGTAATAGTAAATATATTTATATATCCGCAAACATAATAGCCACAATGGAATTTAAAAAAAGATGATAGACCATAGATACATAAATAGAATGCAAAATAATAGATCGATCGATAATAGATGGATAATATATAGAACATCGATCAATAGATCTGTGTTGCGGTAGAGTTACATTGTATATAAAGTAACATTGATTCCAGTTGGATCCAACAATACAGGTGAGCAGTGTCTGTGATCTCCACTGACTGGTACATTCTCAGGACACGTTTAGGGGGGCATCACATAGCCCAAACA